GCACCATCACTCCTCCACTTGAAAGCACAGCCTTCTCATGCTACATTCATTTATTTATTTTAAAGGTGTCACCAGTTTGGTGCACACACATGAAAGGAAGCTCTGGCAGGACAGCTGAATAACACAGGGCTGATTGTGTCATTAGAGATAGATAATTTAAGGGAGGATTTCTATGACATGCCTCCCCCCAAGCTATGTTTGAGTTTATGGGTGGGTGTGAACATGCTTAGGAGTAATCTGGTGAGAAAGGCCAGATTACTCATAAACATGTTTGAACTTGTTTATATGCTCAAACATAGGTTGCAGGGAAAATGTGGAATGTCAGAGAAATCCCCCCTCCTGCTATACACTATTCAGCTTATTTCATTTCTACTGTCATGGATAGGAAGAGGCCCTTACGGTGTTTTCTCTCCCAGGTGTCAAAGTACAGTAACTTCACTGATTTTGGGTACTGAGCACCTTTAGTTGCAGGGGTACCCGCTTGTTTTTCTCTCCAGACTTCAGGTACTTTGGGAGGTAAATGCCAAACAACTGCTGCCTGGGCAGGAGCCTGAAACCACACTTGATCTCCCTCCTCCACACACACACAAGCCCTTTGAGATTGCCTCTGAACTCATCTTAAGAACTGCCTTGAAACTTTAGGACTCTTATATATAATTGTTTCTAAACTGTTCACAAGATCTTGGTGCCTAGGCTGAGGAAGAGAGATTACCGTGGAAAGCTAGCTGTTTGGTTGGTTGTTGTTATTATTAAGTGGTCTAATTAAGGTATTGTCTGCTCCTGAATTTGTATTGCTTGGGGGGACTACATGACCTTTTTTCTAATTTTTTAAAATGAGAATGTTTCTTTAAGCACTTTTCCTTTGTGAATGTTCATGTGTTATAAATACAGGATATTGATGATGACAATGACAATTGTCACAATTAAAACTCCAATGCTGTTTCCTCCAAAAAAAAAATACAGACTGGGCTCTGGATTTTCTCATGCTGGGGGAAAGGAAGAGGAATGGAGAATGTGCAATAAAACACAATACATACAGCAAAGATCATTTGATCTCTAGTCACATTTTTAAAATGGGGAAAAATGGGGAAGAGGATAGGAAGGCAAGAAGAAGAGACTTTGTCCTTCCTTTTTTAATAAATGAAGAAGCAAAGGGCCAAAGTTGTGCAGTTGCAACTGGAATCCACATCTTTTGCCCCCAAAATACCACTGCTTTTGGGAGGCAGTCACATCCCCTGGGAATGCCTGGGGCTACTTGGCAGAAGTGAGAGAAAGGCACTTCCTCTCTTTCCTGTTTCTGGAAACAGGTTCCAGGGCAGCCCTGTTGGTTGCCTGAAAGGAAAGCGAGCCCTGTCCTTACCTTCTCACTGGACGTAGGGTGGACAGGGAAGGCAGAAGACAAGCTTTGCCCATACCAGGATGGCTGGATTTGTATGGACAGCCTGAAGAGAACCGGACTTGGAAGACACTAATGGAAAATCTTTTAAAATGCCCCCTCCCCCGTGGCGAAAGAGTATGTGGCCTGAGCTGTGTTGCCACAGCTGCAGCTATAGGCTCTCCCCCACCCCCCCAAAAAAATGAATCTCAGCCAAAGCACTTAAGACCCAAGCTGTCAATGAGGAGCAAACTGCTGCCCCTCTTCTTCCCAACAAAAAGCTTTGCCACTGGCCCTATGCTTCCTTCCAACCTCAGCTGTCTCACTGGCCACTATCCGTCATCCTCAGCAAGGCTTCTCTTCTTCTCTCTCCCTCTTTGAAGGAGAGGAACATGCCCACACAAAAGCATGCTCCTCACTTCCTAGGAGACTGCCAGAAGGAAGGGACATAGTGTGAACCAGCTGCCTAACCCTACCCTCCCCTCCCCTCCGGAATGCTATAGCCTTCCAACCTCAGCTGTCTCACTGGCCACTATCCGTCATCCTCAGCAAGGCTTCTCTTCTTCTCTCTCCCTCTTTGAAGGAGAGGAACATGCCCACACAAAAGCATGCTCCTCACTTCCTAGGAGACTGCCAGAAGGAAGGGACATAGTGTGAACCAGCTGCCTAACCCTACCCTCCCCTCCCCTCCGGAATGCTATAGTAGGGTGTGAACCAGATGCCTAACCCTCCCCTCCCCTCCGGAATGCTATAGGGCAGTGGTCCCCAACATTGGGCCTCTGGATGTTCTTGGACTACAACTCCCAGAAGCCTTCACCACCACCTCTGCTGGCCAGGATTTCTGGGAGTTGAAGTCCAAGAACATCTAGAGGCCCAAGGTTGGGGACCACTGCTATAGGGAAGGAAGAGGGGCCTTGTGGCTTAAGAGATGGATTGGTAAAGCCAAGATGCCCCTTCTGCCTGTCCTGATTTGGGGTGGGGGGGAGAGATGGATAGAGGGGGAGGGAGAAAGGCGAACACCGGACAAATGTGCATTTCTGCATGGGGATTTTCTGAGCACCTCCCTGGGAGGGAGATTAACTGGGGACATAAGGCCATGCATTTGGAAAACAGAAAGAAGGTCCTCAGGGACAGAAAACATACTGTAAGCATAATATGACCATACCATGGGCATATTGGCTGGGGATAATGGGAGTTGCAGTTTAAGGTAAGCTGATCCATTGCCTTCTTATCATCAACATGAAGAGATAAGAAACTGAAACCTCTTCTCCATGTGTTTTGACTTACTAATTTCAGTGGGTGAATTCAGAATCTCTTGAAGACCAAGGATGGCCTTCATTCTAATCTTTGTTCTAACCTTCTCTTTCTCCCCTACACCCCACTTTAGATTTCAGTTCATGTTGCTATTTGTCAGGTTTCGGATCCATCATCCCTCTCCCCCCCCCAATAAAACCTGTTGTGGTCGTAGGATCTCCTAGCATTCTTTACCTTTAGATTTGCTGGCTGAGGCTGATGGGCCTTGCCATCCATTTATTTCTGACGCGCTTCATGTTTCCCACCTAGTAAGAGGTGAGGCCCAGCTCAACTCCCAATGCAGCCTACTGGGCACACTGGGAGACTCAGGAGCAACAATCCTTACTTAACCTAACATCCCTCCCTCCCAGGTTTAGATTCTTGGAGAGACAGAATGGGTGGGAAAGAGAGCTAGTGTATACACCTGCGCCTTGAGCTTCTTAGGAGGAAAAGGTAGATCAAAAATAGAATTATACACAAACAAACAAACCTAAATACCAAGAACCAGGACTGGAAATAAAGTAAACCAGGTTGCCACGATACCCGAAACCAACGCTTGCACATCTGAGATATCTTTCTGCATCATGGGAAAGAAGGCAGACTTGCATCCCTTCAGAACTGTTGAACTGCAACCCCTATCATCCTCAACCAGCACTGGGGACACTGGGGCTTGTTGCGCAACACCTCTGGATGAGCACAGATTATTTAAAAAAAGTCCTTCCCTTTTTCTCCCATCTGCATATGGGACATCATCAACAGACGCTGAGAAAAGGGGTGGCAATGGATGAGAAGGGATGGTAATGGAAGGTGTACCCTGTTATAGACTTTAAGAAGTGTTATGGCTTAGGTAAGAGGTGCTAGAAACAGAGAGTAGAAGAAAGGATGAAGCAACACATTTACAGCATGCAGGGGGCCTCTGTTTCTTTCTCCCTCCCTCCCCATCTCAATCTGCCATTGCCCCCCCCTCCAGTTCAGGCAGATGTTCTGGGAAATGCCAGGGCACCCCACAGCCCAGTTCCATCATGTCATCTGATCTCCCTCTGTCTCCTCCTGCTGGGCACCTGCCTATTCATTTCAAAGCATAGCAGCTGTGTCTGCTGGGGATGCCTGACCCCAGCCAGGTGAGCAGGAAGTCCCAAGTCTGGGCATGAAAAGAACTGATCTGGCATCACAACAGGAGACCCACATCCAACTTATTATGGATGGGCTCCTACCGAGATTGACAAAGAAGTTCAGCCCAGAGCTGATGAAGTGACTTCTTGGTTTCCACAGCCATATGCCCTCTCTTCATCTCCACTGACCCCCCCCACACACCTCTGACCACCAATCACACCTTGGTGTCTAGTTTCATAACCCTGTAAACTTTCCACCCAGAATTTATGCAGCTCCTCTCTGGAGCTCAAACGCCTGTATAAAAAAGACAGCACCTCCTCTTTCAGTATGGAAACTATTTTTGGGATCCCACTTCAAGGGAGACTGACACATTCTCCACCCCTTCTTTCCCAAACAGCGTAGGAGGCTATCATCTAGCCCAGAATCTGCCTCCAAGCCCTTCTCACAACTGGGCTGCCCAAATATCATGGGTTGCATTCGCCCTCTCTCCTCTGCTCCTGCTCTACACAGGAGAAGTAACTACCGCACGGGAGCTTGGCAAGGGTCTGCTCTGTGCCCTCGGCCCTTCTTAGCTGATGGCCCCACATGCACTGCACTCCCCAGCCAGCAGGGGGAGCTACTGGATGAAAGTGCCTGATTTCCCCAGAAGGCCAGGAAACACTTTCCACCCAGTCCAAATCAAGAAACCAGTCTACCCAGAGGTATTCTCTTTCCCTGTACCTGGAAGGGTTTTAAGTCCCTAACTATTCAAAGCCACACAATCAAAACAGAATCCCAATACAGCAGCCTCTTGACCACTACCACAGGTGCCCCAGTAGGAGGACTTATTGCTCCTACAGCAATGACGCTTTGGACCGGCTCAGAATGGGCCGTGAAGAATTGTTCAGTCCTCACTCAAAACCACCCCTC